CGGTTACAGTGCACGTTAGCATGAAACATGACAGTTTGAGCACTGTAAGCGACAACATCTATCATGGGCACAGCACCGGCGACTTTCGATGCATCCGTTGCACTCCTCATCCACTGCAGAGGCATGACCGAGTCGAGATGATTGCGGACGAGCGAGCGTTCAAGCGTTGCGATTGACGACGTCCACGTGTGCTCAGCAGCATGGTGGACGCGGCACAATTGACTTGCGTGCATACAGGCTTGTGGTGAGGCAGACTTGCACTGCATATAACGCATGCGTTGGTGCTCTAAATATCTGATTAGGCAGCTATGTAAACCTGGCTCTTGGCGTCCTGAGAAGAGGACGTGAGTTATCCTGTCAGTTCGCAACCTTCCAGACCATGACTTTTAGTGCCTCGGGCTGATTTTGGCGAGGAATGCACCGATTTTCGGAAAGAGATGGATTCCCAGCGTCGACTTCACTCTCCCTTTCTTCGCCCAAAAACCAGCCGACTGCTCGAGCCTATATCAACCAACTGGCAATGGGACGGCATAAAACATAATCGCAACGACACATTGCTTTTCGGGCTATGTGTGAAAGTCGTTTGGTCGGCGGAAATTGTCTCTTCGGCAGCGCGTAGAAATATCTCCCACATTTCAATGCAGCTGTCGACGATAGCAGTCTGTCCGAAGGCGGACGCAAGACCGAACTGGCTGAAGAAGCCGAAGTTAGATGAACTTTGCCATATGCGGAAAGGGGCTTTATTCAGGGCGTCACAGGATGGAAAACATGCTCAAGTGAGGAATGAAAGCAACTGAGTCCAATATCTCAGTTCATGAGTAGAAAAAAAGCCCCCTTACAGGTTGACTGATATTACTGATAGTAGGTCCTACGACTGCACAGTTTAACATGATGAGGAGGGAGGCCGTCGTTTCGGCTTTTCAGTCAGTAATAATGGTGGCGTTCATTGAGCCCTTCCAATAGCAGGACGAAATACCATTTCGTTTTGTAAGTCAGACCGCCGGAGGTGCATATAAGCGTTGCATACTGTTGCTACTGTCAGTAGGTCACGGGAATTACTAAGCTAACCTCCTATCATTACGAATATAGGCGGCCTTAGGAATGTCCATAGACAATCTTTAAGTGAAGCGGGAAGTGGAACACTGCAGTCGGTTGTCTCGGAAACCACACTTT